AGAGAGAGAGAGAGAGAGAGAGAGAGAGAGAGAGAGAGAGAGAGAGAGAGAGAGAAATTATCATGAAAATATTCGAAATAGTTTTATATCGATTTGTTATACCTCTCAATTTATAAATGTTAATTAATTCAACCCACGCGCGCGTGTACAATAATTGCATGCGCTTGTAAAGTCATAATCGCGTTTGAAGTGATCATGACAAGAATAACAACCGGACATTATTGCATCGCTCGTCCAATTATACGCTTTAAATTTGCGTGTATCGCGTAAATCCTCATAACTTCGGAGTGCATTCACGTTTCTAATTCTCTGAACACCTTTATCACAGCTTTTTAGATCCTGCAGCCGCGCTAAATTCGCGTATCTTTCTCTCGGGCGCAAGCCTTCAATCTTTATATACGACCGTCACGATAAATTCTCGTAAAAGAGTCGATTGAAACTCGCCCGAGGCAGTCCGACAGTATTTTGAGAGAGAAGCGATGGACTCTTCAAACGATCAATTATAATTAAGATAAAACCACGCGGCAAAGCCGCGCGCACAAAGTACGCCGTAAGCCGATAAATTCAGCTGTCTCTCCGACGGGGTTACGGGATTAAATCCCCGCTGCCTTCGCAGGATGCGATTTTTCTGGCGCGTTTGCCGAGCCGATCTGAACGCGCCTCTCGGCAGGACTCTCGCAAAGGTTCATTCCCGGGTTCTTGGTCCGGAACCTTAATGGGGAAACGGATTGAAGGACCTTGCGCTCAAAGGCCTCGTATGAGGCTTTTGTCCTTTCGAGGTGCTCCCGCGACGACACACAAAGCGCGAGAAGCTCGCATATTCCGTCGAATTGTCGTTTGGCGCGTCGACGACGCGATGGGATCGGGATAAATGATTTCGTTCGTTTTCGTACAACGACCTCCAATTACGACGCGAGCGTTCTGAAATTCGCGACGAGTGTACATACCTTTGTGCGGAAAGACCGAATGCAAATTGCACCGGGAGGCACGCACTTGCGTCGCTGGCACGCACATGCACGTTCGTGTCTGACAATGAACGTAACAATCCCACGGCGGTCGGCTCAACGGTGACCGCCAAGTTGCTTTGCACTTAATTAGAAATTCCCCGCTTAATCATGATAATTGAACGCGCTGCGCATTTAGCGAAATAATATGGCTTTGTGTGCCATAGAAATGAAATTGCCGTAATTTTACTTCCTACCATAAAATCCATTAATCCCCAGTTAGTAACTATATCACAGTTCGATGTTGGTCAGCTGGGCTGCCACATTTAATGCTGTGTATTTTATTACAACGGTCCACGGTACAATTTTATTTTTATCACGGGTTATTCAGCTTTTCTGAAATATCAGAAAAGATTCAAAGTGTCTCTTCGCTTTTTATCGAAATTGGATATTACAAGAGGATCGTGGGAAAATATCTTGTAGAAAAAGAACTTCCGCGGAACTTCCAAAGTTCATGAAATATCCAAAGATCGCTTCAGTGGTCAGTTATGCAATTCCGCTATTTAATTGAGCGAAGCGTATAAATAAGCAGGAAAATTGGTCGAAATGTAAAATATAGGATAAAATGCCGGAAGTAAGGCACAATTGCTTAGAAAGAAGGGCGCTTGAAAAGCAACATTGTTTCGCACGTTTCAGGTTTTTTCTCTAGTTCCTTAGGATATCCGCCACATTACCAGTCCATTAACGGTTGATGGAGTTGCAGGTGCTTTCGCGCAAAACGAAAATAAAACCCGCGAATCAATGTCTTACAGAGCGCTTGCTTTTTCGCTCGCGTGTTCCTCGCGCGTTTCAACCTGTGCCAATGTTTCGTCCGTCAGGTGATATCTCCATGTTAACATGTGAAAACGAACGCTAGTTCCAGTTAGCGGAAGAGCGCGCGAGCAGCACTACCGGAAGTAGTGAACACGACGGCTCCGTAACCACGTGAAGCGGCTGGGCCTCCTGCGACGGGGGGGTCGAGGACCGCGTGCCCATCTCCTCAGAGCGTCCCTTAGACGATGATAGACCCAAGTTCGTCCGAAGAGGAGAGCGAGGAGGATCAGAGCACCCACCATGGCGGCGGCGGTGGTGGCGGCGGTCGTGCTGGGAGCGGCAGCTCCCACGGCTCTCGCCGCCATCCCGGTAGCGTCGGCAGTGGTCCGGGCTCTGGTAGCGTCGGCTCGCTCGCCTCGGGTCTCACCGCATCGCCCGGTGGTCCGAATCATGTTGGTCCACCGGGCTCCGCGGGTGCTCATGGATCTGGGGGCCGCGCTGGGAGTGCGGCGGGTCAGCAGGACGCCGGTGGAGCCGGCCTGGAGGTGCCCAATCTCTCCAGCGCTCGGAACTCCCTGTCGCCGTCGATGAGCGCGACTCAGGACGCCGCCAACTACGCCCAGAGGCCGACGAGTCCGTCACCGTCGGTGGCCAGCGAGAAGACAGAGGCGGAATTGCAGGTACGTGGACGCATGCAACTTCCTGCTTTTGACGTTGGAGACTGAAGACATTCTCGGAGCCGGCGCTCTCTGTTCCGGATATACTCGGGAAAAGGTATTCGTGAAAAGATACATCCGACGTATCTAAGATGTATAACGTTGTTGTGAATTTCCATAGAAAATAGTCTGATAATGGTAACAGTAGCGAATCTCGGCAGTTTCTTGTATTACTGCGGACACAATAGAAATTGCGAGGAAACGTTTTGCTTGGCCCAATTTCTTTTGCACGAGAAGAAATTGGATTACGATTTTTCTAAGACATGTACCGCTATATTCCGCCGATACCAGTCTTCTCATATTCTCTAGGATAAGCAGGAGAGGGAAGAGGTGGAGAGGAAGACTCGAATTCAGCTTTACGTCTTCATATCTAGATGCATCGCTTATCCGTTCAACGCTAAACAACCGATGGACATGACGAGGAGGCAGATGAAAGTCACTAAGCAACAATTGGAAACGATATGCTCTCGTTTTCAGGTAAATAACCAAACAAGCCTTTCGAGCAAATGGGATCCTCATCGACGATAAGAATGAGAATCAAGGACTAGAGTTTCGCTCATGGCAAAGAACTATGCGATATATCATCGTCGATCGTCCACTTGCATTTTGATCGCACGAGAGTACCGTTCAGAGTACCACATATTATGTATTTACCATTTTACGACACAAGAAAAGCGAAACCTTTCGTGGCAGATGGTCGTTTCTCGAAGCCTTATTCAGAGTCTTATAGTTGTCTACCGTGTAACCTTCACCTTCGCTGCTCTTAGATATATCGAAGCTTTACGATCGCATTAAATTATTGGCCGCTATAAATATAACTCCGTTCCTCCTATATCGACGCAAATCGTTGGTCTCACGGTTTATATCACGCTGCGTGAGATGCACATTAATCCTTCTTGCATTTGTCGACTGTATGAAATCAAAATTCTTTGGAATTGACATTTTCGTGCGCAGAAGACACAAGTACGTACCTGTGACGATTTTATGACGTAAGAAACGTTTTTGGTGCATCGCTATCGGTGAATGTGCCGCGTGCGAATCGTCGAACATTCTGTGCATATACGAGTGATTAATGAAGTTGAGAATTGCGAGTATCGCGCTTTGAAGAGAGGGGCGTTGTAATATCGAGGAAAATCACAGGATACGCACTCGTTTTCGGATGTTTCTCAAACGCGACCGTGTAAATTTCAGAGTTTTTTGAAGGGCGAGATGCAGATCATGGCGGACGAGGCGTTCCAGAACGCCATACAGAATTACGTCGACGTGTTCTTGAAGTCAGAAAGAGTAGTGCAAATGGTGCAGAGCGGCGGATGCTCCCAGCTCGACTTCCGCGAGGTTTTCAAGAAGAACATCGAGAAGCGTGTTCGGAGCCTCCCGGAAATCGATGGACTGAGCAAGGAGACTGTGCTTACGTCCTGGTTGGCCAAGTTTGATTGTATCTTGAAAGGTACTGGTGACGAAGACACCAAGAGGCCTTCCAGGACGCAACAGCAGTCTTTGAACTCGGAGCTGATACTGTCGAAGGAGCAGCTGTACGACATGTTTCAGCAGATCCTCGGCATCAAGAAATTTGAGCACCAGCTTCTGTTCAACGCCCTCCTGTTGGATTCAGCCGATGAGCAGGCTGCCGCCATCAGGAGGGAGCTGGACGGTCGCATACAAAAGGTCAACGAGATGGAGAAGGTACAGTGACAGCCGCTTTTTCTTTCTTTCGATCGCTTCGTCGTTCTCCGCGGGACAACGAGATACTTTATTTCTATCTCTCTCTTTCTCTTTTTCTCTCTGTTTTTCACACACGTTCATGATTCTCCATCGATTGCTTTCTGCTCTGTTCCTGAACGCCGACCGTCCTTCTCTTATCCTTAGAACCGCAAGCTCATGCCCAGGTTCCTCGTAAAAGAAATGGAGTCGCTCTACATCGAGGAGCTCAAGTCGTCTATCAACCTACTAATGTCAAATTTGGAGTCGTTACCGGTCTCCAAGGGTTCGATAGACAGCAAATACGGGCTGCAGAAGCTGAAGCGCTACAACCATCGTGGTGAGCGCTCCCGCTGCCGCGGTCAGGGTTCCCTCGCTAAACTGGAGGGCGACTCCGCTGATTCCGATCCCCAGCTGACGAAAATGGACGTCGGCCTGACCTTCCAGCTGGAAGTAGTCGTAATGGAGGTCAAAGGCCTCAAAAGCCTAGCATCCAATAGAATAGTTTATTGCACCATGGAGGTGGAGGGCGGAGAGAAGCTACAAACTGATCAGGCAGAGGCCTCAAAGCCCATGTGAGTAGAGTCAAACGATCGAATGATCGACCGATCACGATCGACCGCAAGGGAGGTCAGGACCGACCGCATCATTCTCGTCCTCGGGTATATTATAGGTGGGATACACAGGGTGACTTCACCACGATGCACCCGCTGCCTGTGGTCAAGGTTAGACTGTACACCGAGAACCCGGCAATGCTCGCACTCGAGGACAAGGAGCTCGGCAAGGTGATACTGCGCCCAAATCCGTTGTCCAGCAAAGTGCCCGAGTGGCATCGCATGACCGTACCCAAGAACTGCGCCGATCAGGATCTACGTATGAAGATCGCATGTCGTATGGATAAGCCGCTCAACATGAAACACTGCGGCTATCTCTTCGCGATGGGCAAGTCCGTATGGAAAAAATGGAAGAAGCGGTACTTTGTGTTGGTCCAAGTCTCGCAGTACACATTTGCGATGTGCTCGTATAAAGAGAAGAAGAGTGAGCCGTCGGAAATGATGCAGCTGGATGGCTATACAGTGGACTATACCGAGGTCGTTTCTGCTAATCTCGTGGTCGGCATGGATTTAGAGGGCGGAAGGTAAATTTTCTCCCCCCGCCACCCGCCGGAGAGTGAAAAATACCTAACCGCCGCGACTCAGCATGCGAGTAGTAGTACACACATACACACAGTCATAATGTTATTGCGAGTTACCGTCGTTGTATTTTCTTTTTTTATTCGTTTTTGTTTCTTTTTTTTCCTTACGTTCATTGATACGTTGTTAGACGTCAATTGATATGGTACGTTGAGCAATGAAAATTTCAGTAGTGGCAGCACTTGGCTTCATTCGTTTTTATTGCCGCGACGACACGTTATTAGACATTCTTTGTAAATAGTAGAGAAAACCAGATGGAACAATGAGGAGATTTTCCGACTGAGCTTGTGCCCTGTGTTAATCGCCGTTGATTCCTGCTTGGGATTCCAAGCTTTTGGCTATTGTTCTCGAATCTCGTGCAGCTCTGAACAGCTCGACCTGAAAGTTCGCTCCTCAATCACAACGTTGATTTTGCAGTTTAGTCGGTAGATAGATGCGATAGAGTTCGTTCGGTAGAGCTCGTTGGGTGTTTCTTCTTACTGCGACGATCGTGTCGCAACGCGCTCGAGCAGGCTATCTCGCAGCTGGCGGACCAAAGATCGTGCCAGTGTTCGGTCTGCGTGCGATCGTACAATCCGCTCATGAGTCGCGTATACTCGGCAGGTTCTTCTTCAACGCCGTACGCGAGGGCGATCACATAGTGTTCGCCTCGGACGACGAGAACGAGTGTCACTTGTGGGTGATGGCGATGTATCGGGCGACCGGTCAGTCGCACAAGCCTACCCCACCGGTCTCGGTGGCCGACAAGAACTCCACCATCAGCAAGATCCAGGGCGACGCCGACCGGGCGAAGAAGCATGGCATGGAGGACTACATAAGCGCCGATCCGTGCAAGTTCGACCACGCCGCTCTGTTCAAGTTCCTGCAGAACTTGATCCTGGATTACAGACTGAACGATCCCTACTGCTCGCTCGGCTGGTTCTCGCCCGGTCAAGTTTTTGTGCTGGACGAGTATTGCGCCAGGTAATGAAGCTGGTGTTTGTCGAGCCTTAATCTCACACCCGTCCGTCTGTCCGTCCCTCTGTTCATTTCCGAGATACATTTAACAGGATTGTAGCAAACGCTTATATATCTTACTGTGGCTTACGTGTGTTACTTTCTTTGATATTTGTAATATGTAATGGCTATTTTCAGTATTTCCGTACTGAGGAAACATGATCACAAATTATCTAAAAATTACTATTAAAATTAAGATTATAGATTGTAAGAATTATCTTATACAAGATTCAATCGACATTGTGCTATAGCCGTGAAAGAAATTATTCCTCATGCAAAAATAAGTTGAAAATGTAGAACAAGATTTTGTCTTATGAGATTTCTTCTTACGTTTCAAATTAATTAATCAAATATAAAGTTTCGTAAAAAATGATTGTTCCCCTTATTTGTTTGTCGACTTATTTATTCATGAAGAATCACCCCTTTTACGATTGTACTACGATGACGGTCAGATCGTGTATAAATTTGAAAATTTTGGAATATAGCGTAATTACATTCGTTAATCTTGTTCGAAGTCGAAGTCGATTCGTTGTCAAAGTCGATTTGAACGTTTGTTTTTTGACGATAGATACGGCGTGCGTGGGTGCTTTCGGCATCTTTGCTACCTTAACGATCTGTTGGACAGAATCGATCGTGGGATCATGATAGATCCGACGTTGATACACTTTAGCTTTGCCTTTTGCGCCACTCATGTTTACGGTAACACAACTGATGGTGAGGGCTCGATCACCCACGAGGAAAAAGATAAGTTTCAGGAGATCAAGGAACGGCTGAGACTAATTCTCGAGAAGCAGATCACCAACTTTAGGTAAATAGTCCTAATTCCCTTTAAGAAACACGAAGAACACGTACGAATTTATCTCGGGAAAGAAATTAACTAATTAGAAATTTAATGAGGAGTTAACAGCTATCGCGTTGACAGAACCTTCAAAAAAGAAGAAAAAGAAATTAAATAATGAACAAATATTTCTCTCGAAATATAATATTCCACGAACTAATTCGTGCGTATTGTGACAATTAAAACAGAGAACCGTTACAAATTGTACTGTTTTCCGTAACAGGTTCAGTTTTCCGTTCGGACGGCCTGAAGGCGCGCTAAGATCAACCTTGTCTCTATTAGAACGCGTCCTGATGAAGGACAGCGTGGTGCCGGTGCCGCAGGAGGAAGTGAAGGATTTGATACAGAGATGCCTGGAAACGGCGGCGATTGTTAATTACGGGAGATTGTCCGCCATGGCGAAGCTCGACGACGATCTTAGCGGCGAGGTGTGTGTGCCTCCCAGCAAGAAGCTGGAGGACCTCATCCGCCTCGCCGAGCTGTGCGTCGACTTGTTGCAGCAAAACGAAGAACATTATTCGGAGGTATTAGTTGGGTTTTTAGAACTGAGTGTCGATTCTCGGGGCTTTCGAGAGAGAGGGTAGCATGCCGAAACAACGGACTTGGTAAGGGTCCGCCACCTCCTCAGAAGACAAACGCGCGTTCGCCCACTTTCCGTAGATCTCGATCGCGTAGACAATCGCGCTAGACAGCTTTCACTATCACTGCGAGAATTTGCAAAAAGTCACTTTCGTTCAGAGTAATCGTCGGATGTCCGACTGGTAGACGTTGCGAGGTATCCTGTTGCGATAGAGAGACTTTCACTTCCTTGCGGATGAACGACACTTTTTTCTCTTACGTTATTACGTTCTTCAATTTGCCACTCATATACATCACGCGCCACATGTACATATACATCGCAATACGTTACAAAACAACGTAGAACAGCTGTATCAGGAAATGAACTGTGATTTCAACGTTATTTCGTTCATCATTTTGAATAGTACACTTCTAACGTGAAATGAAAAGAAAAATCCTATTTACAAGTTACAATTTTATTTAATACGTATACCTGGAGAAAAATGTGAAAATTATATACGAGGTTTGATAAAAAAAATACGTGGAATTTTTAAATTTCGCGGGCTGTATAAGTCCAATTGTCACAATTTTTTGTTGTGTTGGTACACTTGTCTCTGACGTATCTTGACATTGGTAGCCATATTGGATATTGAATTACTTTATTGTTGGCTGTCGAAAAGGTTACACGTGTTTTGGTATACTCGGCGATTTTTAACTTGTGGAAAAAATAGAACAAAGAATTTGCATTAAATTTTGCTTTAAGAATGGAATAAAGTGCAGCATCGCATTGGAAATGTTGAATGTTGCTTTTGGCGAATCTTTTATGAATAAAACAAGCGATACAAGCAAATTTACAAGTGATACAAACGTTTCCAAGAGGACCGTGAAGACATTGAAGATGAGCGCCCTGGACGCTTCAGCACATCAACAACCGATGATAACGTTGAAAAAGTGAAGACAATGATTATGGAAATCGCCGAATCACTATCAGAGAGGTTGCTGATGATGTTGACATATTATTTGGCTCATGCCAAGCAATTTTTTCGGATGTTTTGGGCATGAAACGTGTGGCAGCAAAATTTGTTCCGGAATTATTGAATTTTGTTAGTGAATTTTTGACCAAAGACAACATCGTTATGATGCCTTAGCCTCCGTATTCGCCGGACATGGCGCCCTGTGACTTCTTCCTATTCCCGAAGCTGAAAAGAACCATGAAAGGATAACATTTGTCAACATTGAAGAGATAAAGACAGAATCGCTGAAGGAGCTAAACGCCATACTGAAAATTGCGTTCCAGAAGTGCTTCGAAGATTGGAAAAAGCGCTGGCACAAATGTATTATATCTGATGGAGAGTACTTTGAAGAGGACAAAATTAATATCGATGAATAAAGATTTTTTGAAAAAAACGAAAATTCCGCGTATTTTTTGATCAAACCTCGTATAAAAGAAAGGTGATATTCTTTTTACTCGGCAAAAACGTTGAATTCTCTGCTGATACATCTATCTTCCACACATCACTCCATACACCTCTTGCTGCTTTTCGTTTAAAAACGTATAGTTTTACTTCCACTTATCACTAAACATCTTCCGCAAACGAGAGCAGTCTCCATTACATGCAATTGCGATATCCCTCGACGCTTCCTTTGTTGAGCCGAGAGTCTAAGTTTGAAAGTTATAGATATAGCAAACGCTTGTCGCATAGCAATCACGAGTTTCGCGATCGTTCATATCACTGACGTATCATGGTAGAAGTAGTGTCTTCTGGGTTCTCGAGGGTCCCGTGCTCAGGGTGGCGTCCCCATCACCCCGAGCTACGAGGAAAGTGCCCACCGTATATGTGCGATGTCCAATATTTTCACGATCCGCTCCTACTACACTGTACCGCAGGCGTTCGCCTGGTTTAGCGATCTTATGGTGGAGCACGCCGAGATCTTCTGGTCGCTCTTTGCCGAAGACATGGATAAAATTCTGGCCGAGCAACCACCAGACACGTGGGACAGCTTCCCGCTGTTCCAGATATTGAATGATTATCTCAGGACAGACGGTGAGTTTGTTTCTTCATGACAGACTTACTTGTAAAATGAGATACTTTAAGATACTGTCCTCAACGAGGAAATTATTTAGATCGTTGATGCCTAATTTCGTTGCTATGTTACTTGCGTATTTATACGTTATACATACGTTATGCATCGGTATATTCCAATATGTCTGTAATTTGTCAGCTTATATTTGTCTGAAGATATAATAGATCCCATGCTTCAAGTTTAGATCTGAGAATTCTAGATGGTTGTGGAATTTAATATTTGCACGTAGACAATTTGAAGAACGGGAGGTTTCATCAGCATTTGCGCGACACGTTCGCTCCATTGGTGGTGCGTTACGTTGACTTGATGGAATCGTCGATCGCCCAGTCAATTCACAAGGGTTTTGAGAAGGAAAGATGGGAGATCAAGGGTAACGGCTGTGCCACTTCGGAGGACCTTTTCTGGAAGTTGGACGCGTTGCAGTCGTTCATCGGCGGGCTGCACTGGCCCGACCAGGAGTTCCGGCAACACCTCGAACAGAGGCTGAAGTTGATGGCATGCGACATGGTGGAGTCATGCATTCAGAGGACCGACCAAGCTTTCCAACAATGGTTGAAGAAGGGTGTGACTTTTACCTCCACAGATTACATTATACCATCGGAGATGTGCGCTATGGTGAACGTTATTTTGGACGCCAAGAACCAGAGTTTTAAGCTTTGTACTGTCGATGGTGTCGACGTGGTAAGTTAATGATTTCTGATTTTGAAGAAGATCGCTACGATATGTGATATTTCCGCTTTTCAGCGTCACTCGCGAGAGAACTGTCAGTGTAAAAATATTTTCTCAAATTACTTTTCACAAATAAGAGTACGTTACATCAAATTAGAACTTGGATCTATCTTTTTACTTGTTTATCGCACCTTTAACGTCGTGCGTTTATATACGACGTAATTTTAAGATTTACTCGTTTAATGTTGAGGTGGTATCCAATACTGATAGATAAAAAATTAAGTAGCTGTATATTGATGTTTAGCGTTAAACATTTGAACTTTTGTGTTGTAACGCATCTTGTGTTGACGATAAATCTTTGTGGAATGAATCGTTCAGCAAATGAATCTATTGATATCATATGTTAATTGATATGTGTGTTTCTAGCATCAGTATCATGCCAAGATTGATGACATGATCGAAAAGACGTCAGCGGGAATGAATCAAGGAATGATCAACAAGCTTGTAACGGTACTAGAAACGACGCTCTCAAAATTGTCTCGTTATGATGAAGGTTCCCTCATCGGTTCCATTCTCAGTTTTACGGTACTTAGTTTTTCTAAATTAGTGTTCGAAATTATTTGCAATTTTGAAATGATTGTCTATGTTTGCTTTTTCTCTCTTGTTTCGCAATTGACTGTCGCGGCGCTTAGCCTCAGTGCCATTAACTTTATAAGACCTGCGGGATTCTCCCTAGTTTCTGTAGAGTTCTTATTGAAACTAGTGTTCTATCGTAGTAATTGTAATAATATAAATGTGAATAGAAACACGTAATATTATATTATGAAGTAACACACATATTTAGAGGACTAGTTTCAATAAGAACTCAGGAATTGAGTCTCAGAAATTAGGATGAGGCTAAACGCTGCGACAGTCAGTCGCAAGACTCGACGGACGAGCAAAAGAAGCAAGAAGAAGAAAATAGGGGTAGGCGTCGAAAATCGAATAATTTCGATTACTGTGCTAAATAATAAATTCTTCATACGTGGATTGACGACAGAATTGGGCAATTGTCGTAAATTCACTGGTATGTTTTTAATCGATATTTTGAAAATTGTTTTTTAGAAGGTATCGGGAAGTGGAAAGGAAATGGGACAAGCCTACGTAAATTTCACGAGGAACTGCATGGATCAGATTCGCAGCAAAGTCCTCGACGAATTGTGGATCCTGACTTTCTTCGAGGTAAGGCAGTTGAAACATTGCAACAAACTATGAGTATTTGGAACTTTAACAAGAGGGAAATTTCATTGATTTATTTGGCTTCTCCGTGTTCAGCAATGGTACACGGCGCAGATACAAATGCTGTGTAATTGGTTGTCCGAGAGACTCGATCATAGCCTGCACCTGTATCAATGTACCTGCCTAGCTCACATCGTGAAGAAGGTCTACTCGGACTTCGAACTTCAAGGTGTAATGGAGGAGAAACTCAACTCGAAGACATATCAGACTATATCCAAGAGGATGCAAACGGAGGAAGCAACTTGTGCCTTAACCATGAGCGCTCAGAATGAAGAGTGAGTCGCGTTTACTTCTCTAAGATTTGAAAAATTCAAAATCCGGGATAACTTCATTCAAGCGTTTTCTCAGCGTCGTTAATCAATTATTATCAATTGCCACGAGTGCGTTTATCGATCTTTGCCGGTCGGAGAGGATGAGATTACAGTTTGCGTTTTGTCTCAATGAAAAGACTGAGATAATTTTTGTTTACATTGCAGGGGGCTTTCGGAGAATGGTAATGACGACGAGGTGGAGAGACCTAAGACAAAAGTGACGATCGTTGAGACGATAACGGGAGATGACGCGAATTACGTGGCCAATCTGAGCAACGTCACCTCGAACGTTGTTGGCAAAGTCGGTAGCATGTTCGGCAAGGGCATCGGCGGTCTTTCTACAAAATTCGGCGGAGCCACTAGTTGGTTCTAGTTATTATTTCTAGCACTCTGCCAGTAACCTTACATTCGACTAGTACGTTCCTTCGTCTAAATAAGGGGATGCAGACGAGGAGATTTCTAAAGGCGTAGCCAGTACCGTAGGCAATACGATGATTTAGAGTTTTGTCCGTATAACGAGTGGTACGATTAAAACGATGCAATCGATCGGATCAGTTGCTTTTATCGTCTAGCGAATTATTTCGGTTTTATCGGTGGATTTTCGTCGAGACCTTCCGGCCGCTCGCGACAATATGCGCGCGCGCGTACGGGACTACAAAATTACTTATCAATTAATCACGCGATATTGCAAAAGTAACCGTTGATACATTTCCGTTCACTTATAGACATAGTTTTCGGACTTATCGTAATAACGTATATTAGACGTTTTACGGTCAGCGAACTCGCGGACTCGTTGCGGAGATTTTTAATTGAATCGTTTGCCGATTTTATGTTCGATCTCAGGTAATAGCGAACATAGTCGAAGTACGAAGCTCGGAAAGGCTGATTGTGCGGGCACGCATGATATAGGCGAGAGTAAAACGCGTAGACAATTAACACATATTACAAACAAAAAGGTATATGTATATAAACGTACATATATGCAACGTGTAATTATTGAGGTATTCGTACATTTTGTCGTGCCTGCACGCCAGGCACGTCGTTGGTATATTAGCTGAATTATCAACAGAATACGATTTTTCCTACTTAGTCTGTGTACCGCGAGTTGGTTTTGCGGATTTAGTTGTTGAAGGATAAAAGCGAGGACGCATTTCGCATAATAACTCGGAAAAGATTTTCGGGTCGGTTGCAACGTTACTTGGATGTAGGGTGGAGGCGCGCGATGAAACACGCGGAAAATTCTGGAAAAACGAAGGAAAGGATTGGAATGTGGCATGGGAGGGGGGGGGGGAAGAAAAACCGCGACTGTCGCCGTTTATACCGAGTTAATTTTGCGACCAACAAGTCAATGCTTTTTCAGCTGTTAGATACGATCGCTGTTATCTGTTGGACGACCATTCGTCGAAACTCGAATCTAACATCTCTCGTATCATCGCAAAAGCTCTTAGCGAAACGGGGAACGAGAAAGTCGCTTTGTGATATAAAATAAAATATACAAGGTGGCTGAGATCGGCCGAGGAGTGCTTTAGGGATGGCTCTTTTGACGAATGTAGAGTCGATCCTTTCTTTGTGCGTCCGAAAATTTTCATTACTAAATCTTTTAACTGTGTTAGATATCAATAAGAATTCCCGATGAGAAGCCGATTCGAAATTGATCGTAAAATATAGTTATAGTTTTATCATTCGTTCTGAAGCTTAATTAATAAAACGGGTCTCGTGGTTTTTGTTGGAAAGAATTTTAGAGAGGAGGAGGAACTTCAAATCGACTTTGCACTCGTTAGATGAATCTGAAGTACTTCTCGGTGGATCCGAAACACATTGTGTAAGAGAATTGACTTAACTGATATTACTCATGTGTAACGCGTTGCGCGTCATATCTCTCGCGCCGCTTGTGCACTTCACGCCGGAGTCAAACGAACGTTTCGGTTAAAATGTGCAATTCGCATAAACGACTCAGTCAATGATAGTTTTTTCAGAACGGCAATAAGCAATAGGCATCAGCGTAGCGCTTAAACGGCTAAAATCGGATCGTAGTGTATTTGCGATATAAGTTGCTTGCATATAATCTTTCGTAGCGTTCCTTCCGACGGTACTATTTACTAAACACACACGGAAAGGTTTCAGCACGTTAATTAGCCGCGATTGAATGGTCGCCGACAGCCATCAGAAGCAGTGAGCGTAGTAGCACGTTGTTTATTATCTGCGTTATATATCGTGATCGTTATTACACGTATCTGTGCTCGTTATCGATATGTAATAGCGTGACGCGCTTATTTGCAAACAGTGAGGAAACGGGTGTGCACGGTCGGGAACTTTACTGATGAGAATCGTTTTCGGTAAGCGAATAAAGGACTTTATTTGCTAGCAAATAACGTTAGAATGTTTCTTGCGACGTTATTCACTAATGAAGAAAGATAATGAAAAATGCCATGGCATATTCGCGTCTCATTGTGAAGAATATCACTATCGAGATATCGAGATAGTGGCATCAAAGAATCTTTGTTTATTAACGAATAGAGTAAAAAAATTCTCACGTTAAAGTTTTTATTGACGTTAACGTCAATAAAGAAAGATTGCTTTGTGTGATTGAGAATTTCGAAGAGAGTCACTAATATCTGGCGTTTGACTGTCTTCTCAGAGAGTAAAGTTTTTCAGTGTACATTAAGCGTCCACTCGAGAACCTCCTGTCTTGAGGCTAACTCTCGATAATATGAAATTTTACGACGGTCATCAAATTTGGGAAAACTATTTCCCAAATTTCCGTACGTGTCCACCTCGTAAATATTTCACTGTCAAGGGTACAGCGCTCTAGAGAGCGAGTTTCCAGCGGATTATGAGAACGATACATCCAGGATATTGAAACGCTTTCGATTTAGTCGCGACCGAAGAAATGACGTTTTCATTATCTGTTTTATTTGTTGTCGTCGTCGTCGTCGTCGATACTATAACGTCCTATAAAAGACAAGTGTTATGTAAGTTTACATTGCAAAAGAGCCTTGTCACTGGATCACACGAGGCGTATGTATATTTTCAAAACTTCACGATATAACGTTCGTATATTAATGGATATTTATTTAGCTTGATAAACTCTTGAAAGTGCATCTAATGCGAAAGTATAACAACGAAGCAGGATGAAAAATGCGCGTCCCTAGAGAACCGTTTAAATATTTTGCACGTCTTGTTGTACGCCATCTTCTCTGTGAATTTGTTTACGCGTTTCTCCGTTTCGGAAGATGCGCGAGACGAATCCTATAATCGCTTTTGTAACTCTCGAGCACTCTTATTGAGAGCTCTCTCTGTCTACCTCAAATTCTAAAAGAACACTTTGTTGCCTATGTCAAATGATTTCAGAGATATCGATCGAAATTGACCGAGAAGATAACGTAATTAAATTTACAAAAACTACGACGTTAATTTCAAATTAATTACAGCGTATAAATTTTCAGTTACCGAGTTTCCCGTAGATTTCAATCTTGAAGATTTATATGATTCATTCATATGTGTATGAAAAGCTACATCTAAAGAAAATTTAATAAATCCTGAACTGTTATACTCTAATTGTGTCCGAAATGATAATGCAAATGAATTACTACGTCTGCATATCAATACGTCAAGTATTCGCACCGGTTTTCTTACTCTCTGCTTAATTGGCGGCGGACACATTTTTCACCCTACTTCGACGCGAGTAAGGCAGTAAAACTAAACTTTAAAAGAAGGGAGGAAAAAGAAGACATTCAAATTGTAGTCGCAGTGGCGAGAACGCGAGGCAAGTGGACTTACCATTTGTTTGTACATACTTTAGCGGTGGCGAAACGGGAAAGAGTGAATTTTTTATATGACACAAAAAAGAACGCGCGCACGCGAGAATGGAGCGGCGCGCGGAACTCACGGATTAAGAGAAATTGTTCTGTCGTGCGCTCAAGTTGCAAAAGCGAGAGATTGCATAGAGAGATTCGCACGGCTCGGCAGCCTGTAACGACGCGCGCGTGTGTGTGTGTTGCAAAAACGAAATGAAAAATGAAGAAGAAAATTTCTTAGAGACGAAATATTATACCCTTCATCGTCGACTTCCGAATTTGACAGAATATTTTTTGATGCATCGTTCGCACGTTTACAGAGTAGGGCGATGAAAGGCGAGTTCCCTTTTTCTCTATTTCTCTCTCAATCTCTCTCAGTCTCTCAATCTTTGTCTCTCTCTCTCTCTCTTTCTCTTTGTCTCTCTCTCCCTTTCCCGTTTCTCTGTCTCTCTGTCTCTTTCTCGCCGGAAATCGACAAGTGCATGTTAGTTCGTTGAAAAATTAAATAACCGTAACACACTCCGTGTACAAATTCTTTTAACTTCGATATATTGTTACGTGTTCGACGGAGAAGAAAGAACCGTTCTCTCGTTAAACACCGTGGAACGCAGTTCTAAATATGCCACGTTACTTTCGAACAATCGCGGCTCGACTTGAGGTTCGTGTGTGACGATACGCTTTTTTAAGGCGCGTGATTAAGACTATGTATTTGGGCTCGATTTTCCGTTTTTGTGAGGTTTTTCTTCACCTTTTTTTCCAAGTAAAAACAAATATCGCACGGAGTGCAATAACAGCGTCTGACAGAAATGCCTACATCACGCTTTGGAATTCTTCGTTTACACCCTCACCTTGTACCGTCTCTTCCAATGGTCGTCTATACATATACTAAGCGTCTAAAAGTTTTATTCGATTGTCTTTTCAATGGTATATAACAACCACAGAAAAAGGATAAGAAAAGAGAAACTAAGGATAAACTCAGTTTTTTTTTCTTAATGACAGATCACGCAGATATACTGTTGGTTGCTAAAAATTGTAGAGGTCGAAAAGGAAAATATAAATAGGTGAAGAAACCTTCTTTCTTGCTTGATTTTAACTAAGCTATCGAAACTTTAATTACAGTTAAACAGACGTACGATGTAACTTCTCACAAAGTCAGTTCCAAGTTTTCTATAGAATATATGAAGAGGCACGGTGGTAGTTTTGAGGTAATTTTTAGCTGAAGAACTAGGGGACAAAATATGAATAAAAAGCGAAGAAAATCCAAAAACCTGATGAGCGCATTATTGCAGCTGCTTGAATGTTTCGCCACTGATATCAGTTATTGATATTCAGCGAAGCGTATAGAAATTTTATGATTTATCATTACAATATAATATATATATATATCGATATCGAGACTAAGTGACAGCGGCCTTACACATACCATACGATAATTTCCGTCGCGACCGCGATGAGATCCTACGTGCGAGGTAAAGCCAAACGCGAGCGAAACAAGCGAATTCATTTAAGCCCAAAGAATACGAAAGAGGAAGGAAAAAGAAAACAAGAGGTAAAAAGAATTCAGATAACACGAAACGCGGAGAATTTGGAACGTCATCAAAAAGTAAAGCTAAATTATTATACTGTACTTATCGATGCTAACGACGTTAGAATTATTATGATTATCGTGATTATTCTTACTAATTATTGGTAATTCTCCTATTGGTAATACTCTCTATACGATTAATTAGATTAGAACAGTTGCGAAACGATCTCTCTTTCTATCTTACTCTCGCTCTTTCTATCTGTCTGTTTACCTTTATCTGTCTATCTGTCTATTTGTCTTATCTGTCTATCCGTCTATTTATCTATCTATCTATTAATCCGTCTATCGTTCTATCGATCTGCCTCCGTTTCGTTGGTCCGACAATAGTAATTTTCTACCTATCGAACTTCGATACGAACACTTCTGTCGCCAGCTCTCTCTACCTGTCCGTCTGTCTGTATGTCTGTCTGTTTGTCTTATTTCCTCCATGTGGTGTTTGTCCCTTTTCCCCTTCTCTTTCCTATATCTCTACTATATCTCTTCTCTTCTCATTTTCCTCTTCCGCTTACCTTTCTCCGTTTTGCGTTTAAACTGAACCGAAGAGATGGTCTTTTTACTCTAGCCAGTGTTCTAGTCGATTTAACTTCTACTCAACTGTTGTTCTCTCTCGTTAATAAAAAGCCCGACAAAAAAGCAGAACAAGATATGAAAAAAAAAAGAATAAAAGATATATCCCGATACTCTTTATTTCCTTCTCAGAAATCGGCTTGAGTAATCGGCATTATCGGTATCATCCAATCATACGTTATATTTTTCATAATAAAATGAAAAGAGAACAAAAGCTCCGCGCTCTCATCGTTTATCGCCAGCACGGTAAAGCCCGGAGCGAAAAGTAAACGCGGTATGAATATAGAAATGTAAATAACAGCAGTTTACCATGCACGTAACATGCATCCTCATTGTAACATCACCATCGTAAGAAAAAAAAGATTAAAAAACTTTGTAACGAAAAGATGGAATTTAAATTGATGCAACTCCGATTTCGATTCCCGAAACGAAGGCGAAAGTATGGGAGGGAGTAAGAGAATTTCTTCCATCTTTTCTCTTTCGTTCTGAACGAAAATCGGATCCATTTAATTCTATCCTTTCATGTAGAGAAGAGAAAGGAAAAAAAGAAAGGGTTACGCGATTGATTTTCGTTGTAAATAACTGACACGCGTACGTAATTCACGTTTCGAATTCGTACTAACGTTTTGCCATTTTCCGAGCGCGCGCAAAAAAAAGGGTAAAAAAAGAAAATCGCTTGCTTAATCGCGATAATGAATGATATCCACCGCCTGTCACTCACACACACACATACACATAAATACACATATTCTCTCTTTCTTACTTTCTCTCTCTCTTTCTCTTTCTCTCTCTCTCTCTCTCTCTCTCTCTCTCTCTCTCTCTTGCTCTAACTGTTTCTCTTTTTTTCTTTTTCTCTCATCCACCCTCACTCATCGAAGCATCAATCGCATCTCTTTACTCGACTGCAAAGCGGAAACGACTGTGATCTAGATTAGTGTTACACATCGCATGAAGAAAAAAATGAAGAAGAAAAAGAAAAGAAAAACAAACAATCGATCGATCAGTGCTTAAATGCAACATCGACCATGATCATGACAACGTCGTAGACTATGAATGTCTCGTAGCGATTAAGTATTTCTTATGAACTCTCATGCATATACATATAAATAAATGAGAAAAAAATATATATATACATATACGCCGCGCGCTGAGAGAGGCTATGTGAACGTCGGAGTGTTTTTTTTGTTTTCCTTTTTGTGGAGCAATGTGTAAGTAAATTTGCATGTGGGGCAATGAATGCAAACGCATACATGTATAATTGCAATTAATAAAGTATACGTTGTAAAATGTGATACATGTAGCGTGCATACCTTCGTGCGCGTGCGTGACAACGGGCTCTTGTCCGATTCTCGTTTCGTGCTTCTCCGTAGATCTCATTGCATGCGTCATTCAATATCCGTTGCCGCAAGAAAACCACTTATAGAAGGAAAATTTGGCAATTAATATATCATATAGCTAAAGGATTTATGTAGAGTAAGAATTAAAATATTTTATCCAAAAACGCGCGCTTCTCTCTCTCTCTCTCCAAAGTGTCCTGGAGAAAACAATTTATCTATATAATTAATATGATTAGAAATATATAAGTAAAGATGAGAATTCAGACAACGAATACAATCCAGTATTTCTGATCCTAATCGATGAGTCTTTTGAAACTTGCACGCGAATGACAACAATGTTCAATAATGCTCGTATTGATAAATGTTTTGGCTTGATAAAAGGATACGGTGCCATGCTGTAAGTAATGATCCAAGAAGTTCCAAGAAGTTTCCTTTCCAATGCTTTCTTTCAATTCGACTATTATTTAATTATCTTATTAATGTGAAATTTCAGACACTTCCTTCTTCGAGTAGCTTGGTACCGCCATCTTGTCGTTTACAATTCAAATCAGCATTCTCTCCAACTGTTATAATCTAAAATCTTACCCTACACTGGTACCACAAGTTTTTCGATCAATAATTCTCGATCGATAATACTCCAAAGGACTTATCGACTTTTTAATTAACTTTTATAGTAATTTTTACAGGTAAGTTCGTTGATTTTTTACTTACAAAAAGAAAATAGAAAAAGATGATATTACAACAAATAATAATAGAAAGCAAAGAATGAACGATTGTAAAAGACTATATGCTCCTTCCAGCTGCACTTTTTTACACTTGCTACCCTTTCTTTTTTTTTAAGTGGCAAAATATCCCCTTTTCATTAAATCCTTTCTTTCAATTGTGTTTTTACATACTTTTTATACTTAAGTCCTTATATTTAGGTTATTGCAGAAAAAAAGTAAAAGAATTACTGTGAGAAAGTGTACAAAATCCATTTAAAAAGAAAAGGAAACAATTTATTTCGGCTTCATTTACATTTCATAGTAGCTTTGCATTGGAGATCTACGTTGTCGATGGAATGTAAGTAGAGATGCGTTTTACGTAAATATCACGCGGAAAAACAAGTCGCGTGGTCACGTTAGATCTATACGTTCACGTTCCTTGCACCATACGGTTCGCGGCAACATTTTCGAACGCCAGTCGACGCGCCGCTGTTTCGGCTTGTCGAAGACGACGTTTCATAACAGTCCCGAATCCCACGTCCTTGGCTCTGTTAATACAATTAGTTTTGTAGTCGCGACAGGACGAGAACTCCTGGATACAGGTCGTCTTCCTCAGTCAGTGACATCCTCAGTCGAACGAACGAAAGACTGTCGTACTCGCATTCGACTTGCTTTTCACGGCCTATCATGCTCGCGGTAAAAAGTTTTATAAAATTGTATAAAGTTCCACGAGACAAATTACGTGCTGTGACTTTCGTTCTGAATTCTGCAGGCTTTTTTGTATCGATTGTTTTGTCAAATAAATGTTGTGAAGCAGCAGGTGGCTGTAAAGTGAAGTAGAATGTTGCGGTCTACGTGAAATAATGGAATGTAGGAATATTTCAAATATCCAAATGAAAGTGATGTGCTTCAACGATGCTATCTTGTTTTCAGATCATCGTAAGAACCGTCGCTCGCCGCTCGTTTTCCACATCGAAATGGGCAGCAGCACATCAGGTGACTTATTTTATTGTCAACTTAACCTATACTCTTGTCTGACACTCTGAAATTTGTATCTTGATTATTGATCATAATTGTTACAATGTCAATATCTGCAAATGTTTCCACGTGAATTGATGGTTTTTCCTTGCTTCTTTTCTATTCATTTTCAATTTGACACATTCTGTACTTATGATAATTTACCAAAGCAATCATTTGAAGGACATAAAAGGTCATTTGCTTTTTGCTTGGTGTTTTCTTATGGAAATTTGTTGAAATACTAGATGACAGTGCGAGATGCTCTGAACTCAGCTTTGGATGAGGAGATGGAAAGAGATGAGAGGGTACTCCTTCTTGGTGAAGAGGTGGCAATGTACGATGGTGCTTACAAAGTCTCTCGAGGTTTGTGGAAGAAGTATGGAGACAAGCGAGTTATCGATACACCAATTACTGAGGCTGGTTTTACCGGTATTGCTGTTGGGGCTGCTATGGTAAGTTTAAACTAATCATAAGGTATGTAAGGTAAAACAGCCAATTTGGTAAACAGCCAATTGATTAATCCTTCTTAGTTATTGAAACTTTAGAAAAATCTGATTTTCTCTTGCAACCAGCAAAGATTGTTCACAGTTTTAGTTGTGAAGTTCTTGTTTGAAATTATAAAGTGTAGGCAAAAAGTTACACCGCAGTGTTGATCATAAGAAAAACCAGATTTTCTTCTGGAGTGTCAGTGTCTATAGGAGATACATAAGGAGATGTCAATAATTAGGTGTTTTTATTTAATATCATTCTTAGATATCTTTTTATGATTATATGTTTGCATAAATAAGACTTTTTATGATTATATGTTTGCATAAATAATGTGTTACAAATTATAATCGCATGGTCATAAATTATAATCGCTATTGTCATAAATAATCACTCATTAGTAAATCAGGTGCACTAAATATGAATGTAATCTAAAAAATTGTCCATTATGTTAGGTTTCTGAGACAATAGAAGAAATTTCTTTTTTCTCTTATAATCCTTCATGACAAGAGTGCGAAATTTTGTAACATAATGTGATATTTTGCAGGCCGGCCTAAGACCAGTCTGTGAATTCATGACGTTCAACTTTTCGATGCAAGCAATCGATCAGATTATCAATTCAGCCGCCAAGACGTTTTACATGTCTGCGGGTAGAGTCAACGTGCCGGTGGTGTTCCGTGGGCCCAATGGTGCTGCCGCAGGCGTCGGGGCGCAACACTCTCAATGTTTTGGCGCCTGGTACAGTCACTGTCCTGGTTTGAAAGTAGTGTCACCTTACAACAGTGAAGATGCCAAGGGCTTGCTAAAGGCAGCTATTCGAGATCCCGACCCAGTAGTAATGCTCGAAAACGAAATATTATATGGTGTGCAGTATCCTATGTCCGACGAAGCTCTATCTAAGGATTTCGTCCTGCCGATCGGCAAGGCCAAAATAGAACGAGTGGGCAACCATGTCACATTGGTGGCACATTCCAAAGCGGTCGAGGAGTGCCTCGAAGCGGCCAACGAGCTCGCCGGCAAAGGGATCGAGGCTGAGGTGATAAATCTTCGCTCTCTGAGACCGCTGGACATAGATACCGTCGTACAGTCCGTGGTGAAGACAAAACATCTATTAACGGTTGAGCAAGGCTGGCCGCAGTGCGGCATTGGCGCGGAAGTCAGCGCGAGAATTGCTGAGAGTAAGTTTCGCTCAACAATCGTTGCCTTGTTACCGGATTCATCAGTTATGTAATGATGATATATAGGATGATATATATGAACATATCGCTCAGTAAGTTGTTGATCGCGAATGTTGCTTATCTGATAGAAAAGATGCAGATTATCAAGTATCAAGTGACAATTAAAAGTAGCTGAAATTACAATTAACGCTCTGTAAGAAGCCGATGTAAATAACTTCGAAGGCGTTTGATTTCACAAGAGTGAATTTCTTTGATCTTATTTTAGTCCAATTATTCCTAATGACAATGTTCCCTTCGTTTCCTTAATAGAGATATCTTCTTGCAGGTGAAGCTTTTTACCATCTTGACGCGCCTGTGATTCGTATCACTGGTGTTGACACGCCTATGCCATATGCAAAATCGTTGGAGGTCGCGGCTTTGCCACAGATAAAGGACATAGTGAGCGCCGTTCACAAAGTTTTAGGAGTGACGCAGTAGTCATTAGTCTCGCAAGTACTTAGGTGAAATCCAGATATTTTTACGGTTCTCCTAAAGCGCATTGCAGTTTCCTCATCTCCCGGATCCATGCTTCTATCTGATATATTCTACCTCGTCCAATCATCGTTAGATCATGAATAGTAGAATTTATCGCAAATGAGTGAACAAGTAAGTGCAAAATCTTCGTAATATGAAGATATACTGTCGCTGGATAAAATGTCTAAGAAATGTTTCCTTGTAAGTTTTATGCGTGAAACTCTTACAAAGATGTACGTGTTACGGAAGAAATCTGAACGTACATTTGTTATAACATATAAAGAGGTTTGTAGAATTGCACTTTTTTAAAGTCAGCGTGCAATCTGTATAATAAAATATACAGATATTGATTAATATACATCTTATTATTAGGTAATTGATACGTGATAGCAATTGTATATGTATATATCTATTTTAGTACTTATATCAGTATGCTAATTAAAATATTAATATGTATAATTGTATGCACAGAAAGATCTAACTTGTCTTCGATTTACAAATAAATCGAAATTAATCTCTGATTAATATACATTACATATAAGTGAAGCTATTCTACTGCCGTCTTAATGAGAACTGCCTTTCTCTTTGTGGAGTTTCACGCCGCGTGTTGTCCACAGTATCGGCAAAGAATATGTGGATAGTACAATATTCGCGATTGATTGATGCGCCGTCGCATATACATACGATTGCAGAATTACAGACAGCACATATGTGCTGCCTTTGTTTATTTATTACAGAAATTTAATAAATTGTCATGTACAATTTACCAGTTCCAACTTTTATTTACTCCTAATTATATTAATGTTCTACATGTATATTAGTAATCAAGTATGATACATACGTAAAAGGCAGCATGTTACTACCGTCATGTAACGTTCGAACGCGTCTCTCAGTTCTCCCTCTCTGCAATAAAAATTATTACAATTAATGTTCTTTTCTGACGTAAATTATTAGAAATAGCACGAGATATGTTGAGAAACGTGACACTATTAAGTATATTCTCTGACTTTTACCTAAGTACATCCATGTCAAGGGCACACTGTGTATAAACGGCTAAGAAATTCCGAAGATCGGAATGCGTCCAATTGACTTGTCGCCAAGGCTCTATACATCTCTCCACCAGTTCCAGAAAGAAAAATCTCAATTCTCGCGATCTATGCAGGTTGCATCCGATTCCTAGTATCGCTCTTGAATACGAACGAAAGTTCATGTCCAATTCTTGATAAGATCGGTCGAGGAGCATCGGCTTGAGTTTAATGCATACCAAGCTGAAATATACGAGATCGTGTTGCTTTTGCAATTTTCATAATAAATGAATCGATTTATTTTCATGAGATTCAGCATACTGTTTGTGATGCTTGTCGTTTTCCAAGAGCACCCTACATTCTGATAATTCCTGTAGGAATTCCCTGTCCAAATCTGTATCAAAATAGTCTGATCCAATGCAACGATACGTCCACGATGTCATCATACTATTGGCACAGTGATATAAGTCGGGAAATGTCAAAAATTGTAGTTTCCTTTTGTTCATTTCAAATCGTAAACAAGCTATGAATACTACCACTGCGTATCGTCTGTAATAGTTAAAAATATTTAGTAACCATTATGAAGTGGATTTAGCAAGCATTATGAATATGAATCGTACGATTCTTATCATGACTGAATTATGTAGTCACATTGAGTTGATTGCTACAGTTTTTATAATCAGTCATGCATACTTAGCGAGGTCATCTGAGAGTAAAAAGTGTTGCTTGATATTGGCTGCTAGAGATCCTGGCAAGTCCTCGACAACTTTAAACACTCTTTTTACATTATCATATTGTCTTCTACAACTCTTTAATGTAATTCCTGTCTTTTCTGCCACTTCGTCCATATCTTTTCTGCTTTTAGATGTTATCTTCTTTCCCAGCAATTCACGTATCACTACATCATCAAATTCATAATACCTGAAATAAATGATCATTTGCATCAGCATGAGAAAGGATTTAAGAATAATAGTTTTAATTTTTACATGAATAGCTACTCTTACATCTCAATGAGCATTTGACTAGTTTGTGGTTCAATCTGAAATGCCAGTTGTTCACTGACAAGCTTTGTAGGTGTGTGTAATAGCTTTTCTAAGAGAGCATAGGTGCGATAATGATCCAGTATGTCTGATGCAACTAATTGGAGTGGTGCATCAGTCTGTTGACAAATCCCTCGTTGGTGTAAAATACTGACTGCATCATTGGCTAATAAAAAAATGCATACATGTATATATGTCATGATAGATCAATAGATCCAAATTTTATCGTGTAGATAAATAGATGTAGTTTGTACTTCATTCCTTTTACTTACAGGAATGACCATCGACCCAAAGTTGATAAATTTCAGGATCTACTAACGTATAATTACTGATGAATACATCCACTTCTGACAGCATGTTTAAGGTTATATTTATGTTGTCTTTTTATGACACCATCATCCAAGTAAAATCATTGCGAAAATCATATTAATGTTTGCGTAATGTAGTCGTTATGCTAATTCTTGTGCCGCCAAAAACACTTGTTCACGCGTAAAATCACCGCCATTTTTCCATTTAAATGTCACAAGTCTTGTTAGAATGTGGCGAAATAAGATCAATCATATAATAAAAATACAACAGCCGGTGACATTTCACGTGATACATTGCGCATGTGACAGTTTCAGGTTACCGTGCATATGGTGTCGCTCGTGAGATGGCACTACTGTGTTTCCGTTCACGCGAAGCTCGCTTGATGTACGTAGTGGCGTTCTCGGATGAGAGTTTGAATCTGCCGTGTAGCCGAAAGTTCATCAATTTGCGTGCGAAAATAATCGAGTTGATGTGAATCGGCGTCGAAACTCAGCGATGAAGCACAAGACAGGAGGCTCTTCTAAATTAAGAGATAATGAAACAAATGTCAATCATCGCGATCGTATTTTAACGTGCAGACGAAACATAACCTAATGGAACATTAGCCGCGCGGATAACAAAGGTGAAGGGAAAGTTTCATGTCGGCAATGAGGCAAAAGAAAAGATCTTCGAACGGTAATAAAACGAATATCAGTCATCGAAATTTTAACGTGTAAACAAAACACAACGAGGTATTAACCGCGCGGGGGCAAAGGCAAGAGGAATATATATACACTATAATGTGTATGCATATTTGTGCATCATAATTACTGATCATTTCGACGGAACCGCTTCCGTAAAATAATCAACAGTTATAATGCATAAATATGTACATATATATTGCGCATGATTAAAAAATTTGTTTAAATTTGTAAAGATATAAAATGTTAAGGTTATTTTGAATTGTGTGTACAAATATGTTTGTTTTCATTCTTCTTCCTTTTTAGCCACTTGTTTTAAAGTTCTTTTCAGTTATTCCTTTCATCTGCAGAGTAAATCAAGCAACAAAAAGTATTAATTCTTTGCATCAGATACGATAATTAAGATAGCTACTAATGATAATTTCAGGATTTACATTAATTCTGATATTATAATATAAATAGAATTTGCATCAACTTTAAATACTCGCGGATTTGAGTTTACTTTGTAGTAATATAACTTTCGGAATATTTAAGTACGAAGTCAAGGAAATTTTCGACAATTATTCTTATTATTACGATACTACAATATTTATTCATTTCATCACGTTAATACTGCAACGTTACTTAGAATGGGAGCATCATGCTTAAAATCTTTATTTGAGTAGATGTTATCTATATTTTCATAATATTTTCACTTTGGATATTTAGTTGAGCTTAAATTAAAATTCTGTTTAAGTAAAATTTACTAAGAATTAACTGAGGAATTAGTTTCTAGTATATTACTTATTCATAATTTTATAAAGCTTAATTTGTCAAGATTCTGCGATTTTCAACTTTTAAAAAAGTTCTCTTTTCACCAATTATATAAAACTAAAATTTTCAGTTAAAAGATCCGACTTTTATGTGCCAAAAATATAGCTGTGTGCGTATCAAATATCTATAAAAATTTCAGCAAATTAAAAATTCCTAAAAAAATCTTAGAGCAATCACATATGCAAATGTAAAATTATATCGATGTCTCCTCTTCTAACTCATACCGTTCTTGACACGGCATATTTGATTTGCATTTGTCTATTGTTTTCCTTCGACATTATTATCCGCGAATAAGTCCGATTTCCAGTCAGCATTCGACTGCGGGACCGAGCAAGATACAGCTGTTGAATGAATAGGTCACACGATGTTACGTGGCGATACGGCCCTGTCACATGTCAGGGTTTTATCGGTGCGGCCGGTGCATTATTTTCATTTTTCCGACGCAATATCATGCTTAATTAAAGTAATCGCCGGACTTTGGAGCGAAATAATATGAACGGCGTAACGCGCGCAGGCCGACACGCACATACGCACATACATATACGGCCACACCGGCCGCAATTCTGTGCGATTGATTGACAGGCGAAGAGGAGTGCAAGCCAGCGGCAGCAGTGATCGAAATTGCTACTGCGCTCGCGAATTGCAATTGATTCCGCGGCGAGGCAACGTCACGTAACGTTAAACTTGTTATCGCGTTATCGGGAACGCGCGTTAACCGGCGGCGACTGCTATAACGCGAACCGATAAATATTGTAGCACCGTAAAACAAAATCCGTCGAAATGCGTCGACTTTGTCTTGACGTATCGATCGAGCCTTGCAGAACGAGTAGCGGCGCATGGAGAATGTAAAGCTTAAGTATTCGCGTCGAGTTAATTTTTTTAGCTCGAACGATTTTTCTTTCATTTTTTTTATTAGAAAAAAAGAAATGTAGTTTTAAATACCGTCAAAAGATTTAAACTTTCAAGGATTTAACATTAAGTTAACAGGGAGAAGGTTAACATATATTTGTATATTTCTTTTACGTGAATATTTAAGGAATAATGATATGGAAATGTTTGAAGTCTTGGAACTAAAATGACCAACGTCGCGTTCTACTGAAAAAAGGTGAAGAGGAAATGAAATACTTTGGAACTTGGAGTATTAAAGTTCTCATTGTTTGGTGTGTTCTGTTACATTCAAGATTTCTCTGTAATCCTCAAAGAAAATTTCCGTATCGTAACTCGTGCATATTTTTTTATATACGACGGTGATATTAAATGTTTCAATGACGGGAGATCTAAAGCGAACGCATTTTGATCCGATCGATATATTATATTTTTGAGCCATGGAATTAGGCTGGTCGTTGCGATTCATCATGAATAATAATCGCAGACTGAGAGAATTATGAAGTTCCGCGAAATATGAATTTTACCAGTGGTACAGAGGTTTTTTCTTTTTGTACGACGTGCCAATTGTGTTAGTCCACGTTAAAAGAAGGAAAAATATGCATAATTCAATATTCATGCATGAGAACGTGCCAAACTATGCTGGCATATACGCTCGATATGTATTAAGATATGCATTGAATAAACACTCGACGCGTCTTTTATCTGCACGCGCAGTCGTTTAAGCGGAAAACTTCACATCTCCTTTGTTTATTTAAACAAGCATGTAAAAGCTAATTTTTTTTATATCTATACATTTATTATTTTATATTAAACGTGTCACTCACATGTCTTAAGCTAAATTAGCGATTCCGTAATCTTTATTCGCAGTCTCGTCGCGCATTTAGCAAGAAAGGCGACCGCACTTTAAGTTTACAATGGGACAATATACCATCGAAATTCGACATTAGCAAAGACTCGCATTTCGTGCTAAATTTGCGATAACAAAATACCGATCCCATTATTGCATCGCGATATCACCGTTTTTGTGTCCTTAATTCTTTATAATCCCAAGTACATTGATGGGTTATTCTTGTCCACGTATTGCTCACGCTGCAGATTAATGAGCCATTGTGTACTCGCTATTAATGAGTGGCAGAGTTTACCTTTATTAATATTAACGTTGCGCATCTAGAGATACTTTTTGTTCTCCTCGATGAGATTGTCTTTTTTTTTTTTGTTAAGCAACGTAAGCAAAATAATGTATAAACGCCCATTTGTATCGTACTAATATTGCGATATGCACGCGCAGATAACCCGTTGGGATTATAAAGATTGACAGTGTCATCTTTTTTCAACGCGTATTCTCGGTACAGAGCGGCGGGAACCGGGTGGACTCGCGTAAGTAATGATTACGTTATCTTCGTTGGCTGTCACCAAAGACATACACTTGTCTCGCAGGGTTGCGATATTATTTCCCTGTTACATTTAATGTCTCTAAAGGACATACTTGGTTTCGATTCCGCGATACAGTGCCACTATTGTCTCGCCATTCTCTGCCTAGCGCTTGTTTTCTTTTCCATTTCCTCTCTCGCCTCGTCTCTCTCTCTCTCTTTCATTCTCTTCCGCCTTCTTTCGTTCTCTACCCCCTCTCCCTCCTTTCTCTATTTTCTCTCTCTATTCTTTCCTCTCCTGCCACTGCGTGTTCGCCGTTTCTGTGTCTGTCTCCGGACGGAGGAAGGAAGCGCTCCAGGAAATTCATTTGCAGAGACGTGGCACCGTACAGCAAAACACGAATGATATATTTACATGGCGCCGAGGGAGAAACCCGACGAGATAGATTTACTCGGGAAAGGTTTATCGAGCGTTACGCGGGGAAACGCGAAATGTATTTTTTGAAAGGAACGCGCTAATCCACTCTCGAAGCCGCGGAAGTTCGTTCACAGTTTTTGCCCTCATCTGCCATGAATTCTCCCGGGTCGGGTTTTCGGGCGCGGCTGAGAAATGCGCGACGTGTGCCCGAGTGTTGTGCACGGCTCTCTTTATTTACGACGTTTACAAAGATACTAGTTGACGCTTCCGCGATAAAAGTAACACGCGGAAAGAAACCATCTCCATTAATGTGTTTCCCACGAGCGTCTCGTGACGTTAAAATCGCGCGTGGTGAACGAACTTAGCTGAATATCGCATAGCTTCGAGAACGCATGTTACCTATTTATATGTGAAGATTCGTAAATACGGATGCCGAAAATTTAATCCCGGCAAAATCTGGCGAAATTAAAATTTTTACATTTTCGATAGTGACATTATTCTGAATTAAGTTAAATTACGTTCTAACAAAGTGGAGATCGAAAATCATGTCGTGAGGGCTTGAGCGCAGAGATAAATCCATCTCGCCGGTCTTGTGCATTTGAACGGCGTCGCGGAGAAAATCGATCGATTCCTGAATGTACTTATCTCGCGCTCGACGCGAGGGCCATAAAGTTGTACGATGGAGGAACAAGTACATCGATAATATTGGGCCACCTTTTATTGCTCTGGGAGCTTTTGACACAACCAAGTCTCTCGCCGTTCATCTCGACGTTGTCAGCCGCAGTATCGGCTTAGCATCGCTTAATAATATACTTATCGACATTATCGTATAGTAAACGCGCGTATTTACCTCTAGAATAATAACTATTGCATTTTATTTGTTTGCTGCAGTCGTGCCCACGAGCTAACCGCTGCTGAAACGGCGCGACAACGTTAAATCTTAACTCAGCAATAAATAAATTCTACGTGCCACGCTAGTTAAAATGAAATTAAGCCGGCTCGATATAACGGTTTTGAATTGTTCGATAGATAGTGTTTGTAAATGGATGAGGAAATACTGTAATGGTTCCTTTAGTGCGTCGTTTGTCATAGCCGGTGGCTCCAGATTGTCGCCGTTTCCGACAAGCACTTATTATGCAATTTCGTTGTATAGTTTTCTCATTTTTCCGAAAACAATTACTGTGTGTCGACATTCAAAGTTCCTTCCGTTGACAGTCAGATGTGTGTTTAAAGATATTAGGTATACGAGGCATGTCTTTTATTAACATTTCATGTCCAAATGATTGTTGAATGATTGTTGAAGCGTTTAGAAAGACTCGATTTCATTATGTCCTTCGTTTGTTAAATATTGTCGCTGACAGAACTATATATTTTCTTATAATTTTCTTAAAACGTGACGACAATTTAAAATCGAACATTAAGTTCGTTACAAGGAAAAATACGGAAGTATTCCCCTCGATGAACTTGAAATATGTTGAAATCTGGTTTAGGGCACGTATAAAAAATACGTGTTCCCTATTTTGATCTAGATTCTAACATATTTCAAACTCATCAAGATCGAAGGGACATCTTTCTACCTTTCTCTGTCGGAAAAAAGTTCGAGTTTGAGGGTACTCCTGTACAATTCGTCTTTTCCCACGTGATTTTTTCTATAAAATATTCATAAGATGCTACTAGAGCCATAAGCTCTAATAAAAGAATAAAAATTATTTATTAATATCTCACGATTATTATCGTATTAGATCGAGCAATCTATCAAGAGTCGTTATCGTTTGTAGAGATATTTTCGATGGAGATTTGCATTAGAAACGACCGTACACTCAGTCCCTCCTTCTCTCCCCTCCTCTTCCGCGAATGGCTTCACCATCGATAATTACCAGAAAAAAAAAGCTTTCGATTAGGCGCACTCATATCGAGTTATACATTTTTCATGATTGTTAATTAATTCAGAAAACATTTTCTCGCGTTCTGGATTGTTCAATAATCATGAGAAATGCATAGCTAGAAACGAATGCGGCTGATCGAAAATTTGTAGTGATAATCGATTTATCGAATAGTAAGATAGTCACAGAATCGAGTTTACAGATGGCGTCATTGTGGGAGCGCGGCAGCTTCACGTCGCGTGTATACGTGCGAATTTTCGCCACTTTTGTATCGTGCCATTAACACATTGACCGACATTATTCCGCGTTTTGCGCATTTCTTGTCGGTCGAAAGTGAGTCCTGTGCGGAAATAAGTATCGGGAGCGTCGAAAATAGCGATGTGAGATCGTCGGGACGTGTCGTAAGGACGCTACGAGTAAGTAATCCCCTCATTTTTCAACATATGCAAGCGGTGCTTGTCGTGGCGTATCGAATCGGCGTCTCTTAAGCTAGAATCACACGATTTCACGTCCTCTTAAAGGCCAAATCACACTAGCGATTGGCGATTGACGATTAACAATTAAAGGGTGCGTTCCGTTTCCACGCATGATGCGCATGAAGCGCAGCGTTAGAGTGACAGAGATACGAGAGTAAGATAAAATGAGAGGGAGAGCACTCGGGTGAGGTTCTCGAACCTAGGTTAGGTTAGTTCTCACTAGAACACATGAACTGCCTCAGCTCCGAGGTAGTGCAGTCCATGCGATCTCATGCGTTCGAGAACTAACCTAACCTAGGTTCGACAACTTCACCCGAGTGCTCTCCCTCTCTTTTTATCTCACTTTCGTATCTCTGTCACTCTAACGCTGCGTTTCATGCGCATCATGCGTGGAAACGGAAATGAGAGGGAGGGCACCCAAAATGAGAGGGAGAGCACTCGGGTGAAGTTGTCGAACCTAGGTTAGGTTAGTTCTCGAACGCATGAGATCGCATGGACTGCACTACCTCGGAGCTGAGGCAGGTCATGTGTTCTAGTGAGAACTAACCTAACCTAGGTTCGAGAACCTCACCCGAGTGCTCTCCCTCTCTTTTTATCTCACTTTCGTATCTCTGTCACTCTAACGCTGCGTTTCATGCGCATCATGCGTGGAAACGGAAATGAGAGGGAGAGCACCCAAAATGAGAGGGAGAGCACTCGGGTAAAGTTCTCGAACCTAGGTCAGGTTAGTTCTCGAACGCATAGACTGTCTCAGCTCCGAGGTAGTGCAGTCCATGCGTTCGAGAACTAACAACAAGCTTCAGCTTTGGCTTGCTTTGTTCCAATTGGTCAAGTTCCAGTCTTCAATCGTCAATCATCTATCGCCAATCGTTAGTGTGATTTGGCCTTTACGTGCACAGCAATTCAGTTCACTGCAGGAATCGCTATTGGGCGCGTTCGGGGAGCACGCTACCAACGCTACCGCGTTCTTCTATCTTTATCGCTCCTTAGATAAACAACAAGGATAGAATGATACGGTAGCGCTGAATAGCGCTAATAGCGAGCTCCTCGAGCGCACCTATTGTGGATTGGAAGACTTGTGCGTTGCATTGAACCGCCGGTCAGTATGCATGTCGGAAGGCACGAAATCGCGCATCATGTATTTCTAGCTTAACACTTGTTATTACAATCGACCCACTCGAGTAGTAATAAGATTGAATGGTCGTCCGATTTGTTAAACGGGAATTAGAAATGCGGTGATTTTGGATTAGAAATAGAGGGACGGATAGATAATGTGTGTGTACGTTTGTAGCGGTATATAGACGTGAAGAAATGTGCGCACGTGGTAAAGTTCATTGCCGTTGTTCATTGTCGAAATTGCCCGAAAGATCTCTCGCTGTCGGCTCGGTGAACATGCGGGGAAGGCACGCGGGGGTGTCGGTGCTACGCTAAAATTTCTTACGTTCAGCCCGGGGGCGGACGTAACGAGCACGGCTCGCCTTAATTTACGCCTTAATTTTCCATAGAGTGCATGTGCTTGCGTAATGCGACAGTGGTCAGTCACAAGCGTTCCTATCTCTGATCGCTGCTGTGCGATCTTGACGCGACTCATCACACCAGTTCATCCACACAACCGATTTTTTCGTGCTCGCGCGAGACGGACGGATGGTCTCGGCAAGTTTAAACTCACGGTGATTAAGCTAGTGGAGGGGGAAGGGGGCAAAAGTCGGGACGGGATAAAGGGGTGTTGGCTCGGTAGAGTTTTGTATACTCGCATCGAGGCTCAGTGGTCCATCCTCTTTGTCCTCGTGATAGCATCACATGCAACCGCACGCCTCCACCACCATGTTCGGCAATGTTTTCTGCGTGATCGTGTTGTTCGTGTCGATGTAGAGTAGCTGGATCGTGGATAGCTGCGTCGGCGAGCAACACGGTATTATCTCGCTCTTCTGATGCTGCACCTCGTTGCCCTTCTTGTTCAACCACTGCTGTAAGCAGAAGCGACGTCGCTGCGCTCGTTAAATTTGCCGCGTTTCGCACAAATATGGGTGGGATGAATTTATGTTCAAAGTGCACGTTTTTATTGTCGTTTTCCGAACGATCCTCCAACCAGGGCACGACGAAACTAAACGGGAGAGCTTGAAATTGTACAATAAAAAATTTTACATTTACTTTCCTACACAATTTTTTCCTCGAGGGCATATCGTTCGCGGAAATATGTAAATGTAATTTTTTTAACACACGTTTCAGTTAAAGTCTTGGAAAATTATCTTAATAGAAATTATTCGGTAAAATTGCTTTTCTTCCAATTCTTCAGATTCTATTTACAAAAAAAAAAGGAATATTCTTCTTGTCCCGGAAGGAAAGACTCAGAGGAGTTTGATTATCGGAGTTGGAATAAGTTTTGAAGTAAATTCCAGTCATTTGCACGGAGTTGCGGTGCTTGGAGGTTGGTGTTTTAATAGTGAAACGTTCCGTGAGAAATAGCGGGCGAACGGATAAAGAGCGGTAGAGCGAATACCGTTCTTTTCAGCCGCCCCCGGGCTGAACGTAAGAAAGTCATCTCCATTTCGCGTATGCAAACGATATTTCTCGCGTCACGCTTCGTATATGGCAGAAAGCATAGACCTAAGTTAATGGGGTTTTACGTTGCGTGATAATGGAGTCTTAACGCCCCATTATCGTTACGAGTTGCAAACTATATTATCCACATTATGTGCCGCGGTATAACAAGAGTGCCTCCACCTGACTTTTATTAACAATTAATGCAGGTAATAAAGGACGCGGTTATGCAAGGTGACTATATTTTTTTACGTTAAGTAAAGCGTAAATTGGCCGTACGAGTCGGAAAGAAATTACTTTGTCGGCTGGACGGTCTTTATAGAAATGGAACCGTAAAACTGTTCGTGTAGGTGGAAGAGTGCATGAGATAAATCGCCCGCTTTCTCGAATTAAAATCTACCATATTAGAGATCCTTGCGAATGGCATCGCGAAGACGCTTCTGCTCGATATCGAAAAGTGACGGTCCAGTAGATAAAATTGATTTCAATCAGTCACTTGAGATACGTAACGATTAACTGTTCCTTTAATAGGAGGGAATTATGCCGAATGGAATCGAGATGCGATGCATCGGTTTCTGAGGCTTCTTATACACGTTATCGACAACAATCAATAAATCTTTTGCGTATCATCGACGTTTAATATTGGCAATACGCTTTGCGTAACACGTATGGTTGAGAGTAAAAGCGCAGAGAAACATACGAGGCTTGAAATAGCGAGAGAGAGAGAGAGAGAGAGAGAGAGAGAGAGAGAGAGAGAGAGAGAGAGAGAGATACATACACATACGCGTTATACACGTACACATATATGATTGCATATGTGGGAAACACGTTTACCGAAAGCAATACCAACACTGTGTGTCCCGCTAACTTATGTAGAACTCGTCTGTAATGTAGATGCGTCTGCGGAATTTTACGGAGCAAATTAGAATTTATTTTAATAAACTGCACGCTTAATTTCATTTCACGCCCTCCGCTCCATCGCCTTTCCCCCCC